TATCCATTCATCTGTTGATGGACTTAAGGACTGTTTCCAAGACTTAGCTATTAGGACTTGTGCTGCTGTAAACATGGGTATGCATGCATCACTGTACTGTGATATCTTTAGCTTTTTTGGGAAAATACCTACAAAGGGAATAGTTGGGTCACACAGAATTCTAGTTTTAGTTTTTTAAGAAATCTCCATACTGATTTCCATAGTGGTTTTACTAGTTTACATTCATACCAGCAATGTACTAGGGCTCCTCTTATCCCCAAAGCCTCACTAGTGTTTGCTCTTATTTGAATTCTTGATGATAGCTATTCTTTCTGGAGTAAGATGGGACCCATTGTTGTTTTTTTAAATTTGAATTTTTTAATGGTCAGCCATGTTAAACATTTTTTCATATATTTATTGGTTATTTGTACTTCTTCTGAGAAGCGTCTATTTATTTTAATAACCTATTTTTTGATTGAGTCTTTTCTTTTTGGGGGATCTAATTTTCTTTGAGTTCCTTAGATGTTTGAGATATTAGTCCTCCTTCCAAAATTAGCTGGCAAAAAATTTTTCCCAGTATGTAGGTTGTTTCCTATTTTGTTAGTTATTTACTTTGCTGTGTATAAGCTTTTAACTTTGATACACTCTCATTTGTTGAGTTCTGATATTATCTCTTGTGCAACTGAGGTTCTCTTCAGAAAGTCCTTGTCTACACCTATGACTTCAAGAACTTTACCTATTTTATCTCCGAGCAGCTTAAATATGTCTGTTTTAACATTTAGATCTTTGATCCTCTTTGATTTTAGTTTAATATATGGTGAGAGATATGAGTCTAGACTCTGCATGTGGAGAGCCAGTTTTCCCAGCACCACTTGCTAAAAAGGCTCTTTCCTCCAGTGTGTGTTTTTGGTTTCCTTGTCCGAGATCAAATGCTGAATGTGCCTGCGGTTGTTTTTTCATGCTCTCTTCTGTTCCATGGATCCGCCTGTCTGTTTTGGTATGAGCACCATGCTGTTTCTTTATCACTGTAGCTTTGTAATATAACCCAGTGTTCAGGATTGTGATGCCTCCTGCTTTGCTCATGTTGCTTAGCGTTGCTTTTGCTATTCTGAGTATCTTCTGATTCTATATGAATTTTAGGATTGTTTTCTCTAGTGAGGAATGTTATTGGTATTTTGACTGGAATTGCATTAAATCTGTATATCTTTGTGGGAGGATTGTCATTTTGACAATGTTGGTTCTGCCTTTTCAGGAACAGGGGCTATGGCTATCTTTCCATTTTCTAAGGTCTTCTTCAATTGCTTTTTCAGAATACTATAGCTTTAATTATAGAGGTCTTTTACTTCTTTTGTTGGGTAAATTCCTAAGTATTTAATTTTTCTTGATGCTATTGTAAATGGCATTGTTTTCCTAATTTCTTTTTCTATGTGTTCATTATTGGGGTGATTTGATCAATCTTGTATTCTTATATCTGGTACTCTGAGCAACTTTGTTGAAGATGACAATATATAATATAACAACATTGTTAATTCCTATTATTTTGTTTTCAAACCCTGTACCATTTTTATTGTTTTTGTTTTGTTTTGTTTTTGTCTATGTTGTTGTTATTCTTTTAAATTCTCTTTATAATAAAAAATGTTATTGATTTTGTGCATTGATCTTGTATCCTGTTACCTGCTGAATTGATTATCAGTTCTCCAAATTTTTTGGTGGAAATTTTAGATCTTCGACATAAAGAATCATAATATCTGCAAATAATGGTAATTTGAATTCTTTCTTTCCCATACATATATTCCTTTTATTCCTTTTTCTTGCCTGATTGCATATTGAACGGAGGTGGAGAACACCTACTTTTGTTGAGCATCTACCATGTGCTTTGTGCCAGAAACATTTTCTCATTTAGTCATCATAAGAAGGAGTCCAAATTTCTACTATATTTTCATTTTAAATGTGAGAAAAATGAGACCCAGAGAAGTTAAGGGATTTGCAGATCAGTGATGGAGAAAATATTTGATCCCAGATCTACTTACCAAGAAAGTTGCTCTTCTTAACCTTGGTTCTGTACACCCCAACTGTTTATGACTGTGTGCTCTTATCAGAAAGCTGCTTCAAAAACTGAAAATGGATTGCAAACAATAGTTTGCATAGAATCTATCACACGTCAAATGTCAAAACACAATCTACCAAAGTCCCAAAGCAACTAGGAAAATCATCAATAAATAAAATCCCCTTGGTCATGTCTAAAATATTTACAGTTCCAATATGTTTCAAGTTTCTCTAAAATTCATTAAAAATGGTAGGTGGAGCTATGATAATTGCAGCTATGTGAATAGACTGGATTCTGAGATGATAAAAATTGATTATGCTAAAAGTATTCTTCTGTAATTAAATGGTAACTGTGCCAGGCGCTTTAATTAGTCACCAGTAACTTATTTTAACTGAATAAAGTAAGTTTGGTGTATCTCATTAAATGAGAGCCCAGCGGCCCCACCTTTGCTGTCGTTCTTCTTCCCACCGCAGTCCTATTTCCGCATCTACTGCTCTAATGAAACTGCAGGAGAGGCGAAACAACCTCGTGTAACACAGATGTAAACATTAGGAAACCACCCTCATCCTTTCATTCAGAAAACTTGTACTACACTTTAAATTTCAAAAACTGTCACTAAGGGAAAAAATCTGCCTTGAGTCATGGACCTCTTATATCACTCAAAAGGAGTGTAAAGGAAATTCAGTAAACATGATAAAATTCACTTGGTAGATTTTTCTTCATTTCTAATGCAGATGAGTTTAACCTGCATCTTTGAAAAGCTATTAAAGAAAATGAGTCCTCTGAAATTTTCTCCAGCTCCTTAGGATCTAATAATATACAGGTTTTCTGCAGTTGAAAACAGTGGAAGATAATTTATTTTTATTTCCTGTCCTTTTCACCTTATTGTTTAATTATAAAAGCAAAGCGTCCTCATCGTGGAAAATTCAAAAAGTATGAGAAGTATTGAGGAACAAGAAAAATGCCACCTATCTTGATTCAAAGACAGGTCACAATTAACACAGCACATTTCCTCCTTTGATCTACTCATTGCTTTTGCATATTTGAAAAAATTCCTGCTTGTGTAATTTAGTGTTCTGCTACAAAGATGCACTTTAAGAGAAATATTGTATTTTATTCTTAACCTTTGTCTGGATACCCAGTGGACATTCACTGTGCTTCCAACATCTTAGACACAGATTTTCAGTTTCCTGCTACCATGAGCTTGTACTGAAGGGAGGTCTCAGCCAAAAGACAGCACCCATTTCTGTAGCTGGGTGAATATTCTGGGCCTCCTGGGAAGGACATCAAGACCCACTACTTATTTAGTAGCTTAACCAAATAGGGCTGGCCTTTATTTCCCTCCTGGAGGGTTCAAAGGGGAAGGTTAACCTGATGTGTCAGCAAGTCACAGGACCTACATAGAACTTGAGATATGTAGATATAGAGTATAAATCTCAGCCCCAGATTCAGGAATACCCCTGTGTGTGTGCGCGCACGTGTGTGTGTGTGTGTGTGTGTGTGTGTGTGCATGTGTGTGTGTGTTTTATATTTTATTTTGATTTGATTTGATTAATGAAAATAAAATGGTAGCAAATATCTAACAGGTAACTTAGTCTGTGGTTTAAAATCCGAAAGGTCAGAAAACAAAGGCAGAATCTTTACCCTCTTGTCTATCATGGTGACTGACACATCTAAGCCCAAAGTCCTCAAATGCGGGTTCTCTTTCTCTTCTTTCCCACATAGGGTCAGTGTTCAAGCCAGCCCTCTAGTGACACCCGCAGCTATCCTCTGAGGGCAGGCCAGTGTACCCAGGAACTACCCAGAAGCTGAGCCCCAGGCTCCCTCTAATCAGAACCCACCACCCTCTACCTCTGTCTTTCTTACATTCTTTAAGAGACTCATTCCTTCCTCCTCTGTAAAGTACTCTCTTCCGGCTTAATAAAACAGAAGGCAACCAGGGGCAGCTCTTGTAGAGAAATTCCGCTTCAGTCTAGGAACACACATCTCCTTTGAAGTTAAGGAGTACAAATGGACTGATTTCCCTTATAGGAGGTACATGAGAAAGTTAAACAGAAGCGGGGCGGGGGAATAGTATTTTTCTAAATACCGTCCTGCCACAGAAAAGACCGTGAGGGTTCACTCGGGTTCACTCCCAAAGCCAGGGTCCTTCACTGTTTAGCACCAGGAGGCAAGTTTGCAATAAACTAAGCCCGGCCTGGATGCCAGAGGAGGTTCAGGTCCTGGGACTCCAGGCTTTGGAACCATCACCTCCAGGCTCAACATTCTTCTACAGTCATGGGTAGCACACAGTAAGATCAACTTCCCCTTATTCACAGCCGGCTGCCTTCCCAACTCACTGCCCAGCCAATCCCAAAGCAGTCGTTCTAATTTCTCATAATCTAAGAACTCTGGAGAGAACCTCCTAAAATGTGTTCCTAGTGCCCCCACTTGAACCTGTTATAAACAGAGGTCCACAACTTATAATAGTTCAACTTGTAGCTTTCTGTCTTTACAATGGTACAAAAGTGACACACACTCTGTAGAAATCATACTTTGATGACGAAGGGTTACAGCACTCAGAGTGCTGGGCAGTGAGCCACTGCTCCCAGAGTACTGTGTTGCTGTGCTATAATGTTCAGTCGACTAGATGTATAAAGGCACTTTCTACTTAGGGTAGTCTCAACTTACCATGGGTTTATCGAGACATAACTCTACTGGAAGTCAAGGAGCATCTGCAGTAGATTTTTAGATGAATTTAGTATACATGATGCTGGCCATTCAGGTGGTAGTTACCTTCCTGCTGCAGAAAGTTACAGCTGATCTACTTCAAAACTTTGGCCACTCTAAAAGACCTTTGGCTCCAACCAGCATAAACCCTTCCTCTTCAAAACTCATTTGGATCTATTGACAAACATACTGTTTCTCTGGGAACAAACCAGACAGTAGAACATGTTCTTAAATATGTCTCTCTTCATTTTTTTCTGTCTCCTAGTCAGACACAGAGTTTTGGGATAAGATGCAAGCAGAATGGGAAGAAATGGCTCGGAGAAACTGGATTTCTGAGAACCAAGAAGCCCAGAACCAAGTTACAATCTCAGCTAGCGAGAAGGTAACCAGTTCTCTTCCTACATATGCTAACCTCAGGCTCCGCAGCGCATATTTTATAGATGAGTCAAAACTTTGTCAAGAATCTAAGAATTAAAGACAATTTAATGTCGGTCTGACCTAGAAGACATTATGATAGATGGAAACGAGATAATCACCCAGTGTGTAAAGGCAGCCAAGCTGATACGCAGCCAACCAGAATTTGGATGCTGACTGCTGGCCAGTTACAGAACTCACATTTAGATGGGCTGGCCAAGAACCAGACTAATCCCAGTATGTTCTGTCACCCAGTCACTGCAGTCCTGCTGCTATGTCAGCAACAGAAGTGATTCGAGTAACACGGGAGTGAACCCGGGCTGGGGGTTGTGTCCACAGATGGGCAGTACACAGGTGGAAAAAAATGTCCTTCAACAACCAGGTGAAGGCCCAAGGGGATTCCTCAGAGATGCTCCCCTGAGGGCAGCCTCAGCAATGTACAACAAGTCTAGTGGCCAAACAGCTGAATTACCCCTGAAGGCCCAGGTGCACTAGGATTTATCTCTGTAACAGTACTTTGTTGGGGAGCAGGGAAGATGAGGAATTTTGTTACACAGAAAGAAAGTGTGTGTGTTTGTATTGAAGGTTCTTGTGGTAAAGTTAATCTCAGTAATGTTCAGTTCTGGATAACATCCATGATATTTTGTTCAGGGCAGCAAAAACTTATTGAATATCTATCCTACACTAAGGGATATGAAACTGATTTTAGTGGATTAGTAACCTACAGTCATTAAGATGTCTCCCTCCTCCCAACATCTCTGTTCCTCATCAGAAAATCAAACTATCATGGACAAATAGCTGTCTCTTACACAAAGAAAACAAAGTGTGGTGAGAAGCGAGGACTTTGCAGGTCACTGGACACTGCATAG